CAAAAAGAGTAAAAGTTCATAATTCGTTTACTTGTTTGATGCTTATAGACATGTTTTCTTATTTGAGTTGTGTTTATATGTTAGATGCTACTATGAGCAGCTGAATCTAGCTACTCTTATCTAGCTAGATGAAGCTTCAAACTTATGAATAGCATAACTTTACATGGATTTATTTAGTTGGTGAATTGCTTGTGTTTGATTTATTGTTACCTAGCATGCTCATGTTGTTGCTTAAATTGCTTAAGCTCATGTTATGTGTAGCTTAGTGACCATTAACTGCATGAACTTGATAACCTAGTAATTTAGTGAACATTGAATTGCTAGAGCTATGATCAACCAAAATCTTAGTTAGTAATTGAAGTAATTAACCTTGCTGTGCTAGAGAACATAGATTATGACCATAATTGTGTTTGCATGATAAATCTTGCATAGCATATTCATCAACATAATTGGTTCTGTGTTTAATTGTGTGTGACCATACATAGTTTTACATGAATTAATTAACTATTGGTAAATTTAGACCTAAATTACTAATATAATAATATCCAACTTAATAATCCATAATTATTAGCTAGCCGTAAGGACGAAGTGGATTCGAACTAGATAAGAGTGTCTTTTAATTATTGATTGAATTTGAGTTAAGCAAAATCAGATAAAAACCCCCTTTTTAGCTTGTTAATAATTAGATTAATTTAGTAGTAAATAGATTAATTAATAACACCGTTCCCTGTGATCGACACCCGACTTACCTAAGCTATACTATAATCTGACTAGGTACAATGCCTACAAGTGCATAGTTAGTCTAAGTTTGTTAGGTTATAAATATTAAAATTAGTGGGTACTTCCGTGCACATCATTACCCTAAATGGAGGAGCAGTAACATGGAAAATTTCCAAACAGGAGACTGTAGCTGATTCAACGTGCGAATCAGAGTATATAGTAGCAAGAGAAGCGTCGAAGTAGGCAATATGGATAAAGAAATTCATCGGAGACATTGGAGTTGTACCAGCTGTAAAGGAGCCTATGGAGATTTTATGTGACAACGAGGGTGCGGTCGCCTTAACCAAGGAACCAAGGGATCATGGAAGATCCATGCACATCGACATAAAATATCACTTCATAAGACATCGAGTAGAAGAGGGACTCCTTGTAGTGAAGAGGGTATCGTCAGAGGATAACCCAACAGATCCCCTTACGAAGGGACTGCGTAGGGTTAAGAACTTGCAGCATGATAAGAGCATTGGCCTGAGAGACGATATTAGTTTTAGTGATTAGATAGGCAGTTGGAAAATTGTAATAAATAAATGTAATTGACATTTGATGATTAAATAATAAGGGTTTTATTTATAAGTAAAGTATACTGTCTTTTGTCAATTCTTTATTTTATGTTTCATCTTTTTTGCATGTTTTGACTTCCAGATTAATATGGTAGATTGTCTAAAGTGTTTAGATATAGCAAAAGTTTGCTACAACGTTCATGAGTGCTCCTGAAATAAGATTTGAGTATTGGATAAACCCACACTCACATGAATCACTTCATGGAATTTATCACGAGTGATTGTGAGATGATAATATCGTATAGTCTTCAAACCAAGATATATGAGTTGTTGATTACGAATTGTTTGTGCATTGATAGTATGAAAACGCATCATTAACTTGATGTTATAAAACGTGTTGTTGTGTGTAATTTAACAAATAATTAGTACAAGCATATAAGTCGAAGTTTATATGTTCCTTTTATCCTAAGAGGATTAAAAGCGATATCATGGGCCCCTCGATGATTTTGTTTTGACTTATGTGTCGGGCCCGGTCACGGCTCAATTGATGTGTTCAATTAAGTTCTATGTCAAACAAATCAGAAATCGGGAAACAAACAGCTGGACAATGAGTATGACTTTATTCCATGTCTTTTTCCACACGATATCTTGTAAAACAGAGGATTATATGATCCCTTATCTAAATGACGTGTCATTGAGTAGGTCAGAGTTCGACAGCGGCTTTTGAGAGCTACGATTGCTAATCAGATTTTGAAGTTGCATTGGCAGTTATAGTTATTAGACTTATCCAAGTGGGAGACTGTTGGATTAGGTGTGTAAGCCCATACCTATAATTAGTATGTACGTGACCCGACAGTAGCATGGTCCTTTTGGGTTGCCTTCACCAGAGCAATTTGATGGGATGGATTTTTGAGAAAGAGGTTATTTGAGATTTATTAATATATTATATGAATAATATATTAATTGAGAAATTATATTATTTAATTGGTATTGATCAAGAATTAATTTGGAATTAATTTAGTGATCAAAAGAGACTGATAAAATTTATACGGACTAATTAGGTAAATCAGTAATACTTATAGTTTGGGCTAATGATCCATGTTGATTAGGGATGGACTAAATCTATGTGAGAGTCCATGAATATTTATTCCAAAAGGCCTATCATATGGATTATTGGAATACTTAAAGGCTTAAGTAAATTAGGCTTTTATGTAAGAAACCCTAAGGATTCCACACTATAAATTGAACCCCTAGCCTTCCCAAAATCGACCAATCATTTCCAAGGTGAAACCCTAGCCAATTTTGGTGCTTCCTAACCTCTCTCTCATAAGGCTCCTCTTTCTTTTGGTGTTTGTGACTTATTAGAGGTATCACATTTGAGGTACTAAGCTTTGAATGTCCAAGAACTACAAGCTACAACAAAGAGGTATTCATCTAACTTGTTTTTATGTTGTGAATCTCAAAATTGTATGCTAGTTAGGGTTCATCACTACAAGAAAAATACCCTTTAATGATGCGCAAACAATGACACTCGCAGATTTACGATACGTATTTTTGTGGGTCCTTAAAAATAATGTTAGGTTTCCAAAAACTGAAGGATAGAGGGCACGCATTTTTCCGTGCCCTTAAATTAGTGTCTCAAGAAAAAAATTAAAAACACGGAGGGCACCTAACGAAAAAAGCTTGTCCTCTAAAGGTGTCGTTTTATATTTTTTTAGGAAGGTGCGCGCGTTCTCCATTTTTTTAATAGCCTATGGGGGGAAATGAAATCCCAAAAAATTAAACACCCCGCCATGTATCTCCTTCTTCTCCTTCTACAATCCTCTAGCAATGAACCCTAATAGAATTGTGAGGCTGTCAATCCTTTTGAAGCAGTCGTCTTCCTCTACCTCTGCACTCTCTATCCCTTCCCTTTGGAAGCCCTAACCGCCACCACCAGCATCGACTCTCTAATTTCCCTTATTGTCTCTCTATTCTGTTATCCCATATCTCCACTTCCTAACACGCCTTCGTCTCCACCCTACATCCACTTCCACCGCCTCCAACCCTCACAGATTCAACTCTCACTCTCAATCTCTCTTAAATCTTAATCTTTCTAGGTTTTCGAGAAAAGCTTTTTTCTAATCGGAGTTAAGGTGTACGCCATAGAGCTATACATAGATCACAAAATTATGGATAAATTAGAAACATGGAAAGGATAAACAACGTCTCAGATCCAAGACGATTCTTCTGTATTCGACTTAATCTGTTAAGGTAAATATCAATTTTCTTATGTGAACTTTTGTGAAAATTGCTGCAGATCATTGAAGAAAGGAACGACCATTGAAGAAAGGAACCTTCATCTTCTTAACCTGGCTCGATTCCTCCAAAATTCTGGTTCGTTTATACTTTTATTAGAAGGAAAATCACTAACATGGATTTACTTGATTACTTCTCCTATTCAAAGAAACCGAGCATCTTCTTCTGATTTTTTAAGTCGATTTAATCTATTCTGAAGCTTTTTTTTGGTTTTTCTATTCCTTCTGCTTCCTAATTGAGTGAAAGTCACTTGAAATTGAAGCTTTTCTTTCATTCATGAACTAATATTTGAGGTTGCTATATATGTTTCTTTTTATTGTGTTAGCTAACCAAGGATCAAATGTTAGGGTGCTTTTTGAGCTGACTCCTTTTGATCAGAGTGGCAGCAAGAGGCATAAGGTTTAATCATTACGGGAAAGCATTAGAGAATGATATATACCCTTAAATAAAGGGATATCATTTGGTAAGCTAAACTCTATTTTTGCTAATTGTGTTTTCCTTTATTCTTAGGTGAAATATAACTAAAGAAGTAATTCGTTTTAGGAAATGTTGACTTGTGTTTCTAGGTTGGTTGTCACAAAACAAAAAAAATTGGAATAGGATAACTAGATGATTAAAATTAGGATAGTTAAATAATTCTACATCTGTCTTATTATTAGTTTTCCAACCTGACATATCATTCTAATGAGTTGTTCAGCTTATTTTTTATTAAAAACTCTTGTTTTACCAGCAGAATTTCCTAGAATGTGATTGCTCCCATAAAAAAGTTTTCACGGGTTCATCACTTTACTAATTTGGTTGTTTATTAATTTTTACTGTTGTAGAATATGACATAAACTCAGGTCTCTCTGCTGGAGCTATTGCTGGAATTGTGATTGCGTCATGTGCATTTGTAGTGTTGATTTTAGCTCTACTTTGGTGGAGAGGCTATATAGGAGGAGACAAAGAAGATAAAGGCAAGACACAATATATACAAAAAAAAGATTTTATACAGTTCTAACAGCTTTTAATTGTTGTAACAACAGAGCTTCGAGCGCTTGAATTACAAACAGGGTATTTTAGCCTGCGACAAATTAAAGCTACTACTCATAACTTTGATCCTACAAACAAGATTGGTGAAGGAGGATTTGGACCAATTTATAAGGTAAGATTCAAATGTCACCTCTTATTTATTTTTTCTATGGGCAAATTAACATTCTTTGTCCTTTTTACAAATATGAACAGTATACTTTAACTTTTACATGTAAGAGCAACGTACTTATGACTTTCAACCAAATATAACAATTTTTAGCCTGAATAACTGGTAACCAATGTGTTTCATCTTTTTGCTAATGTGGCAATGTTTGAAGATTTGGCAATTGTTTGCCACATCATCATTGATTGGAGTTGCACAACACATAAGCAAAAAAGATGAAAATATATCAAATGGTAACCGGTTACCGTTCTTCAAAGCTAAAAGTTGTTGTTTTTAGTAGAAAATCATAAGTACGTTGCTATTATTGGTGAGAGGTAAAGTATATTATTGTTTATATTGGTAAAAAGGGAAAAGTACGTTGCTATTTCCTGCAATTTGCTTAAAGTTTTTGCATTTTGTTGAATCACAGGGTGTACTCTCAGATGGTTCTAAGATTGCTGTTAAACAACTTTCAGCAAGATTAAAGCAAGGAAACCGTGAATTTGTGACTGAAATAGGAATGATATCCGCTTTACAACATCCAAATCTCGTGAAGCTTTATGGTTGTTGTATCGAAGGCAAAGAGTTGTTACTTGTATATGAATATCTCATCAACAACAGTCTTGCACGTGCCCTTTTTGGTAAATAACCAAATACTTTTCAGTTTTCAATATCCCGCAATTTCGTAGTTTTTTTTTTAATTGTGAAATTTTGACAGGCCGAGAGGACCAGAAGCTTAATTTAGATGAGGAATCAAGGTTGAAAATAGTTCATAGAGACATAAAGGCCACAAATGTGCTTTTTGACAAGGATCTTAACGCCAAAATATCAAATTTTGGTTTAGCAAAACTTGATGAAGAAGAGAATACTCATATCAGTACACGAATTGCTGGAACAATGTGAGCATTTATTTTATATATACATATTTTACCATTTAACTTCATTAAAAATCTGACATGTTTTTATGGTTTAAATTTATAGAGGTTATATGGCTCCAGAATATGCAATGAGAGGATACTTAACAGATAAAGCGGATGTCTACAACTTTGGAGTTGTGGCTTTGGAGATTGTGAACGGGAAAAGCAATACAAATTATAGGCCAAAGGAGGAATTTCTCTTCCTTCTTGACTGGGTAACTTCAAATTTTAAAAAATAATAATAATAAAAATCTTGCAGGAAATGGCAGCATACTTTTCCCTTTTTATGAATGTGGAGAATATAGTTAGTTTTTTTTACCCATAATAGCATTGTATTTTCGATTTTCTTCCAAAAACAATAATTTTTAACGTGGAGAACCAGTGACTGATTATCATTCGAATTTGTTTCAACTTGTTGCTTATTTGGCATTATTTGAAGATTTGGCAATCGTTTGCCACATCATCATTGGTTTCATGCCAAATATGCAAAGGAGTAAATTAAAATTTTGGTCTAGGGGTGTAGCTCATTTTTCAGTTTTAGTCCATGAAGTTTATTTTTTTCAATTTTGGTCCTTATTTAAGGTTTTCATAATGCTTTTGGTCCTTGCTCCAAGTGAAATGACTATATTACCCTCCCTTCCTTTCCTCTTGTTCAATTTACAATATACTAACAATATAAATTTAAAACACCATTTAAAAAAATCAGAGAAAAGGTAAATATAGACAAAGTCATTTTACTTGGAGTAGGGATCAAAAGTGTTACAAAAATGTCAAATAAGGACCAAAAGTAAAAAAAAAATACCTATTTATCTTTACATTAATTCATCCGGAACACAGGTGATTTTTTTTTCTTTTTTTTTTGTTTCTTTTAAGGTTAAATTACTAAATACAAGAAATAAGTTAAAAAAGATTTTTATTTTTTTTTCTTTTGTAGAATGACAAAATGGAGACAGTGGGGTCTGAAACAGAAGCATACGCCATTGCTGACATCATGGCTGTAAGAAATCAAAATCATTCATTTTATCTTTTTTAGGCTATTTACTGATATGATTTATTAATTTCCGAAATTTCCCTAAAGTACTGCAAGTCAGAGGTGTATACAGTCAACTGTGGGATGGCATTTGGTTAATTATCATTCCTCTCATATGCTCTCAACATTCGCTGCATTCAAGAAATAACAACATACTTTCATCAACTTATTTACAATATCATTGTACTTTTGTTTTCTTAAATTCTCCCTATTACAAGTTTAAAAATCTACCTAGTTATAGGAGGCATGCCATTGAAACATAAAGCAACTTTCTCTATGATACCTGAGTAAATATTCATGTGATTGATTAGTTGACATTTATATTTATTTCTTTTCTTGTATTAGGTACAAAGTACGATTTGGATTATAAATCTCCTAATAGATCGGGACAAAACTTCAAGTCAGGAGAAGATATGGTTGAGATGTTGAAGAAGGTTAGCACCATGTTCTGAAAAATAAGTCATAAAATCTTGAGGTTTATTTAATGGTGGTTGATGGTTTTATTTTGTTGATGAAGTTTAGCAATGGAAAGATAGTTATGGCATTGGGGGGAGGATACAATCTCAACTCAATAGCAAATTCAGTACTTTCTTGTGTATAAGTTCTATTAGAAGACAAACATATTTTTGAACCCTTTGAGATTTATCCATTTGTCTACTATTGGAATGATTATTTGTATGACATTAACTTTTGTGCAATGGATTGTATTTTTTGTATATGGTATTTTATTTTCTATTATGGGACATGAAATGCAAATTTAATTTGAAAATTATTAAATCTATAAATAAATTTTAAAAAAAAAATTTAAAGTTACGATACGCAAAAACGTGTGTCATCTTCATTTATGACATGACCTTTCTTGACAGCGGCTTTAATGATACACATTGCGTGTCATAAATGCGTGTCGTAAATGCGCGTCGTCTATAGACGACGCGCAAAAGCGTGTCGTCTCTCGTTATGACATGGTCTTCCTTGACACACATTTACGCGTCGTCTAAGCGTTTTACGACACGCATTGCGCGTCGTAAAAGGTTGTTTTTCTAGTACTGCATGCTTTGGATAAATGAAAATCGCATGTATAACTTGAGAAAACTTAGATCCAAAGCATTAGGGTTGTATGTGCACCATAGGATTGTTATAGTGCTCAAAACCCATCAAATAATATATAACGCTGGATCCCATAGACATTCGAATACTTGATTCTACCCTAAGCCCTTCATCAGACAAGAACAAGGAATAAGGCTAAAGCAAACATTCTTAAGCTATATAATATTAGTTATGTACAAATATGATGCACACACTAAGAAACTACAGTATTGATGTCAATTTCATCTAGTATATAAGAGATTTTCCTTAGGCTATCAGGCATCACACATCATGCAATTCTATCATGCAATTCCTAAGGATACTTAGCCTAAAAACTAGCATGCAATTCTATCATAATCATCATAAGATAATAAAAGTGTGGGTATTTGGGGTACATTTTCTTGCTCCGGCTGATCGTACACATCTCATCCTTCTTTGGTTACCTTTGAAAACAATTTTGAAAACTTTTACAGACCCTTAGTTTGAGTCTGGATTCACACGAACGCTCATCCAATTCACTCAAACCAGGGCTCTGTTACTAACTTGTAACATCCTAGAAATAATAGTAAAATTTTTCACTTTTGAAACCAATCCAAAACCATAAGCGTTTACAAATCATTGTTTCCAAAAGTCATAAACATGAATCAGAGTATCCTAAAATCATAATCTCATAAAAATCCAAGATGATGTGCACGATCAAGCCTTCGCCTTTCCCCAGTCTTCTGAAGTGCCTGAAACATAAGACTAAAACTATAAGCCAAAGCTTAGTGAGTTCCCCCAAAGTACCACCACACAACATATGACATATACAATCAAGCATGCTGGGTCTAATCATTCATTGGACCGGAATACCCTCGGGTCCACAGCCATTGATCTAGATTACCCCTGTTTCAATTAGTCATCATACTAGAATGCGTCGACCCAATCGGTCATCGGATTGGAATGCCAATATGCAACGGGTCCAATCAGTCATTAGATTGGTATAACCTTGGGTCCATAGCCATTGGGCTAGAATACCCCCGGTCTATTGGCTCAAGCACATAACAGTAAAGCATCAACCCAAAATTGTACTATGTCGACATATGAAACAGATAAATATATAACCATTCAATAGGCAAACAGATAGATCTACAGATCCCTACCGCATAAGAACATCCTATATACCAGGATACAAATCTAACATATCACTACAGTACAACAACATCCTATATACCAGGATACATAACCTAATGGGCCGACATTAGTGCCTTCGACCCACAAGTATAGTGAGGAAAACTCACCTCGCAATCTGACAAAATAGATGAACAACACGCTACTTCGAATACCAACTCTACAGGTCACCTATACAAAAAACAGTAACCAAATCTCAAACCGCAGCTCTAAACACTCAAAATGCCCTTAAGTCAAACTTGGTCAACCCTTGGTCAAAGGTCAAAGTCAAAAAGTCAAAGAATTCAAACTGACTGAGTACGCTAAGCAGACTCAATAACTACGCCTGACATAGTGCATCCTTGACCAAAACACGGGACCTTGACCAGGTACGCGCAACGTACCCCTTGGTATGCCCAACGTACTATGTCTGGACACTCTCCTTCTCATTAAATGCTTATTCCTTAAGGCCTTTCAATACAAACTCAGATCTAGACTCAAAACATCGACTTAAGTCATAAAGTTTCCACCTTTATGACTTTCCATGGCTAGAAAAGGTCAAAAAGCTGAAACCCTAACTTATTAATCCATTAAGACTTCATAACTCTTGCATGGAAGGGATAGAAGGACCAAGATCACATTTTCATGGGTCCTATTAGATCCATAATGGATAAAGTTTCCAAATTTATCCATTAGGATGGTCCAAACAACCAATATCTAGTCTTTAAGTCTCAAAGGGACCAAAAATCCATCTTTCTCAACTTAATCCATTAAGTCCAAGTCTCCAACCTTCAGATCCGAATCAACACGATGTTTAGATGGATAAAGTTTCCAAGTTTATCCATAACAAGGTCATAAACTTTCAAGATCCAAACTTTATGCACTAAAGTGAAAAAAACCACATAACACCTAAAACTAGCTAGATCTAACTAATGCATCATCAAAATTCAAGCTTTATACCTTCTGGAGTTGAGAAAAGCAATGTACACTCTGGATCCACAAGCTTGTGCTTCAACATTCAACAATCTTGAATTTCTCTTTCATCCAAAATGCACTCTGAATACATAGAAAGGCTCAAGATTTGATCAAGGGGGCTAGGGTTTCGAGTTGGAGGCTCAAGGGGGTGGAGGCTGTTGTTAGGAAGGACCCCAAGGTGTTAGAGTCCTTAAATAGGGATCACTACCACAAAAATTAGGTTTTTACTCTGCAACGGTACGCCCAATGAACCTAAAATTATGCCTAACGTAATGTCTTAAACATGTGACTTCCCCAGCCAGTACACCCAGCGTACTCCAAGTGTACGCTCAACGTACTGCCCAACCCTCTTATTCCAAATTAACTTCAAACAGACATAACTTCTTCGTTCCAACTCCGTTTTCGACGATCTTTATATCCACGTAAAGGTATCGATTAGCTCTACAATCATATCTTGATACTTATGACTAAAAACATCCCAAACTAAAATCCTTAATTTATGCAAGAAGACCGAAATATAACCCTTCCCATTTACCCCTCAACATCCATCAAATAACCCTAGGTTTAAATCACTTATCCAACATAATACACCTCCAAAAGATTCTAAACTCCATTCCCTTGAAACCCAAGGCCATACATAGTCGAATTACGGTCCACGAACCCTGAATTAAGAAACGTCTTGAAACATGATATTACATCTTCTTATTACATAAAGCACACTCATCAAATGCAACTTTGGGACGATTCTGATTTGAAGACTGAGGTCATTGTCGAACTGCAAAGACAACAAGAGTTGTTGTTTTGGGACCTTTGTCAGCATGGGACTTGATACGAGTTTCTTCAGCAATCAACTCGTGAACAACCGAATCAACAGTGGGAAGAGGTGTGCGATGCAAGATTGATCCATGCAAGCCTTCAAAATCTAAACGTGATGCCATCAAGAACTGAACCAAACGTTGCTCGTCCCTTCTATCAGGTAAGAGCCAACTGATCCCACAAATCCAACATAGTTGCATAGAATTCCTGAACATTGAGATTGTTATGTTGAAGGGCTCGAATATCAAACTCTAACATTGCTACTTTGCAAAATTAGACTAAGTACACAACATATCCATGTGATCCCAAACCTCCTTTGTTGTGTCATACTTCGCCAACTGAGTACTAATAGACTTGATAACAAAATTATTAATCCAAGTAATGATCTTTCGAGTTATGAGTATCTTCTTAATCTAGTAGGTTGCATAATTCTCAGCCTTTTTCAAATGTTGTTTTTTCTTATCACCTTTAACAATCCCCCACATGCCCTTACCTCGCAAGAAATTCTTGATAACATAACTCCAATAGGCATAGTTCTTGCTATCGAGTTGGGTATTAATGGACCGAAGAGATTCATCTTTCGGGGCTATATTTCTAATAATAGTCAAACTAAAATAACCAAAACCAACAACAAATACGAATAGCATCAGTAACAATCAAGATCTCGAAATCAACAAAATCGAACAAATCATACCAAGCAGAATATAGAAACGAAGGAGGAAATCAACAAAATCGATCCGCGCCACGTCATTCCTACTACAACTCACCCCGAAAAATGAAAATACAATGATCAATCGTGCTATGTTACATTGTAAACTAACAAGTAAAATACATAGAACGGCTAGGGTTTCATATTATTATCAAATGAGAAGTTTAACTACAATGAAAGGGAAAGACATAACTTATAGACTAGTTAATTAGGGTTTCCTAGATAATAGGCCAACATAATACCCAATACAGAATAAAGCCCAAAATCTTATTAGGATAACAATTGGTAAGCCCACCAAGTGTTGGTGATTTGTGAAAATGTCTCACATATAGTGATGGTCGTGGTGAAGACATGATGCTTAATTTACATGTAACTCTTTGTATCTATGTTTTTCTAGTTTGTTATATAATCCTAAACCGAATCGTGATCATATCAGTTCATCAAGTCACCACAGTTATAATTGAATATGGTTCTTTTCAGTTACTAGTCTATTCTAGATTTTTGTTACATTTTCATTTCTTATAGTATAAGGACTAAGTTTAATGATCTAAATGTAGCTTTTTACATAACTTTGTCTTCACCTCCAAATAAGAAAAAAAGTTGTTGATGAGAGGCGAGAGTTATAACACCTCAAAACCATGTTATTGAATTTGATAATGGAATCTAGATGATATCATATCTATGTAATTTCTTTATATAGATAATTGGAGGTGAAGATCATCCAAGTTAGTTTTATTTTTTTTTCAAATTCTATTTTTTGAGGGTAGTGATTTTTTTATTCTTGTCATTCCAATTTCAGAGTTAATGGTAAAGATCCAAATTTCATTTCTTTTTACACGATTTTTTTGATTTTTGATGACAACAAACTCATTTTACACGATTTTTTGATTTTTGA